TGCTCGCTACCAGAGTTGGCTTAAGACTAACTTACAATGCTATTGTTCTTATGCTAGAGAAATATAATCCTATCTGGTAATTTGACCCTCAGGAATGTTATCAACATCCGTTACGTTAAGTCAGACGATGATTGTTACAATGTAATACAATGTTCTTAGAATATCTCGCTGACGCGGGCATTCGTGGGGGTCTCAGCATACGTAACTCCTCCCTCCTTAAGTTCAAAGTTCTCATTTTTGGATAAAACAGGAGAACTTTGGACAAAACAGTTATACAATTTTAAATGAAATTTATATGCTAAAATACACATTACAATTAAAACAATTAATACATAGAGAATAATGGTCCATATGCTAACACTTTTAATTTTCACAATTGAGTTTTCACTTTCACTATTTTCAGGATCACTTTTCGCTAGGGCGATTGATAAGAGTTTCAGGTTTGTAAGTTCTATTCCTTTCAGGTTCATCGGCTTCAGGGGCGGCGCTTCTGCAGGTAAGTTTATCGTTGGTAGATTTATTAAGGGTACTTTCAGATATGTGGAGCTTTCATTTTCTACAGGTTGTCTGGTTAAATTAATATCCTTTATTCTGGCTGAACAGTTATCATCTAATGTTATTATGTATGTACCGTATATCTTTTGTCTTGATACTTCATCAGTACATAACTTGGTAAGTAAAGTTGGCTCCTTAGTATATAGAATCCATGTATTCTGTTGTATGAGCTGCACCCTGACGGCTTCTAAATCGACTGGAATTGGAAGACATGATGATATGTTTTCAGCGTACATCATCAGGTCGGTTATACAAGCATCCTTTATCAGCTGGGTTGTGTCGTCCTCGGGGCAAAAGTAGAAGGACTCATCGGCTTCCTGGCATGGATGAGCTAATAGACGTGTGTTCAACCCTTTCGCTATTAGGTATGGGAACTTAGGTAAAATGACAAGGGTATGGTTATGGGATATAACAGGTAAGGGATAGAGTCTATAATAATTATAAATGTCCTTAGAGACAAGTGGTATTTCCAAAAGGTAAGTAATCTTATTTTCTTTTATATAAGCTTTTACTAATATTGTTTGTTCTATCTTAATTAAGTTTTCTAATGTAGGAGTGTATATGAGGTTCTCTAATTTATTTATATTTTTAAGTAAAGATAATAATCTTTCAGATTTCATTACTGAATAGTGTAAAATTCCTAATCTGCTAAAAGCCAAGCTAGTCTCTATCTCATTTAATTTTGTAAGAATTAACTGAAAATTATGAATTAATAAATTGTATGTATTCACTATTCTTATTTCTATATGATTTAAACGTTCCCTTTGAAATAAGATGCTTATATTCGTCGATAATGAATTAATAGCGTTATTTATTTGAAATAGATTATCATTTAATTTAAATGTAGTGTTAGCTATAGTTTGTACCATTTCTGTGATCAGCGTTATTTTACGATTATTAATATTCTGATTATTTTTAAATTGTGTAATTATTTTATCATATCTTATGGCATCGTCATTATCAAGATTTCCTGTAATAATCTTTATAAGTGAACCTAATGGATTCAGTAAACCTCGTTTAATTCTCGAAGAAGGAGTAACTTGTTGAAGCTTATCAATAGTTAAGTTTTTAATATAATCTAATTGTAATTTTAAATCTATAAAAGTATATGAAAAATTCTTATCTAAGTTAAAAACTAATGTATTTAATTCTACGGTTTTTAAGACATTTATTTTCACGTCTTCCGTCATAGGTTGGAAATTTAGTGTCTTAACTATTATCCAATGCTTATTACTAACTACTGCGGTTCCTTGCCTTACAGGTAATATTCCAGGATTTTTATTTAGTTCCTGAAGTTGAAGGGCGTGGAGATGCATCACCGTGGTCATCGCCAGGACGAGCAGGAGGTGCCTGTGAAGGGCGTTTCACATTCTTTAGTGGTACTTTAGTGTCACGTCCTTTTATAGTAACCGGAATAGTGTTTCTATGTATTTTATCCGTTACTTGTGCTATATTAAAACGCGGTTTATCTTTACTAATTCTATTATTTGTTCCTTTTGTATAAATTATATCTCCGGGCTCGATATTAAATTTAATTTCTCCTCCTCGTTTTTCAATAATTTTCTCTTTATTTTGTATAGCTTTTTCAGTTAAGTGTTTATATAAGTACTTGGTGCGCCTAACGTGTTCTTTAATTAATTCTTGGAAATATTGTTTTTCGAAGTTAACGTCAAATGGGTGTCTTGATTCTGTATGTCCTAACAAGACTTCAAATGGTGTTAAACCTGTTGTAGAATGTATGGTGTGGTTATATGCCATTATTGCGTATGTCATTATAAAAGATGACTCTGTATATTTATGATCATGTTTTCCTATTCTGTATATTTCTAATAAAGTGGAATGGAATCTTTCTATGAGTCCCATTGAATTATGGTTGTTAGGGGTACCAATATGTAATTCTACTTTATAAAATGTTAACAGTTCTTTAAGTAAAGCATTATTGAATTCCGTCCCGGGGTCACAACTAAGTTTCTGCGGAACGCCATATAGTGAAAAATATTTAATAAGGGCTCTAACGACTTCGGGGGTCGATCTGTTAGTTAATTCAAAGGCTTGTCCTAATTTACTGAATGCATCTATGATGGTTAAATAATAATGGCCTTCTATTGAGAAGATGTCTATAAATATTTCCTCTAAGGGCTTACTTTGAGTTTGAGTTAATTGTAATTTAGGTTTTATTGGTTTTCGGTCATATTTCATGATTTTACAAGTTTCACAAGAATTTATAATACTAGCTACTGTTTGAGCCATGTTATGCCAAAAATATGAACGTTTAATATGGATTAAGGTTTCTTTAATACCGCGATGACATGTTTTTCCTTCGTGATATTTCTGTACTATGTCTCTTTGTTCCGTTTCATTTTCTACAAAGACAACACGTTTTGTGCATTCGAAAAATTTAACAAGTTCTTTATTAAATAAAAATATTACTAACTGTGTAAATTGTTTGCGGTGTTCTTCATTTTCGAAATAGATAAAATATTTAGTTTTATTTCTAATGTATTCTTTTAGAAACTGTTTAACGAGATCGGATCGATTTAAGGGTAAGTGTACTTCTAATATTTTTTGTTTTTCTCGAGATAAATTCTTTACAGCTAATCGGTCTATGTTCCAACTAAATACTAAAATTTGATTTGGTTTAGTGTCGATTGCTTCCTGCAAAATGGGAATGCCTTGTGACTCAGTATCTTGCGCGGAATGTGCGGTTTCTAAATCAGCAGATTTTTCAGATGCTGTTAACGTGCTACTAGATGGGTAAGGTATTGAATATGGAGATTTTATTGAAAGCGTCTTTTCAGAATCGGAGTCAGTAATGGTGATAGCTTTTTCGGACTCTATTTCTGAAATAGACATTTGTTCGGGTGAGGGTTGTTTAACTGTTCTCTTTTGTAATTGTTCTAATTCTTTTATTTCTTTCCTTAATTGTTGTATTTCTTTATTCAAATCTTCACTTTTATCTATGTTAGGTTTTGTGGAATAATTATCTCTTTTATCTAGGGCATTAATTTTAATACGCGACAGAGCGTCTGCGTTACAGTTTTGTTTACCGCTCTTATGTATTATGTTGAAATCATATTCGGCTAAACGTAAGCGCCATCTTGTTAGTCTGCTATTTGTTTCTTTAAGGGAATTTAACCATGTTAAGGGTTTATGATCGGTAATAATTGTAAACCTTTTACCGTATAAATATGGGCGGAAATATTTAATTGCCCAAACTATTGAAAGGAGTTCTTTTTCTGTAACACTATAACGGGTTTCGGCATCGTTTAGTGTGCGGCTCGCATAAGCAATTGGTTTATCTTGCCCAATGGGTCCTTGTGATAGTACAGCGCCTAATGCAAATTCAGAGGCGTCTGTCGTTAAAATAAATGGTTTATTGTAATCTGGGTATTCTAATATAGGTGCGTTCGTTAGAAGTTCTTTACATTTATTGAAAGATTGTATATATTTATTATCATCAAGAGGCATTGAACGTTTCTTTTTAAGTCTTTGTGTCATAGGCTGCGTTATCTTGCTAAAGTCTTTAATAAATCGTCGATAATAACCTATTAATCCTAAAAATCTTTTGATTTCTGTTGTCGTTCTAGGTAAAGGATAATTCAAAATGGTTTTAATTTTATCGTTATTTGGTTTAAGTCCTTCTGGGGTTATTGTGTGTCC